AAACGTGCACCACGGACAGCACGTGCTGCCCCAGGGCAGGGCCTTTCGAGTGCCTGAATCCGAAGGAACAGGTGTGTGCCGCAAATTACTGTTTTTACAGGGCACTGTATGTTTGAATTTTTGGTGGGAAAAATAGAAATTTTGAAAATTTTTGTTACACGTATGTACCAACAGACCCTGGAGGGGACTCTGGGGTATAATTAATGGTGCTTCATATGTACCACTAAACGCTTAAGGTAGGCCTGTGGGAGGGGGCAAGAAAAAACAAAATCCATACTACCTACCAAACATTGAGACACACTCATCGATTCAGCATGCTTCCATTAACGAAAACACATGGTATCAACAAAAGATTCAAAGCAGAGAACAAGTGGTTAACGAAAGGTTGACCAAAAGGATTCCAACTACAGTCATACGGGAAACACTGGGCCTTTATTTTTACAGCTTAGGATATATGCCCAAACTGATGCGTTTCCACATGAGCCAGCTCATCACAAACAAGCTTAATTAACTGGCAAAGAGCAGACCCAAACAGGAGACAGGAAATCTGGATTCCAAATCCTGCCCTGTTCTTGGACAAATCAGTTAACCTTACTGGCCTTCCCTTCTCATATACAAAAGAAGGCAAACAGAACATATCATCGTGATGTCTAAAGTCACTTTCAGTGATTTAAAAACAGATTAAGCCTGACTCTAGACTAAAATAAAATTCATTAAGGTGAATGTTTTAACTTACACCTATCTCAGTTGCTTTTTCTATTGTATTATCTTCCCAGTGGCATTCAGGGCAAGAAAGAAGAGCTGGTGTAAAGAAAACAATTATGATAAGCCCCATTTCCTAAGCAAACTGAGTCCCATCCACCAAGAGCTCTTTTTATCCTCACTTCCATACTGCCCATGGATCTCTCCCACTCCCTCCACACCCAAACTATAACCCCCAGGTCAAAATTTTAACGCCAGCACAACTGTTAAGTGATGCAAAAACGGCTTGGGGGCAATGTCTAACCTCCTCCAACCCCAGAAGAGGGAAGGAGAACCAAGGTCAACAGCCCAAGGCTGATTCCTATGAGGTGGAGGTCAGACATGCCTCCTCTCTCCGCCACCTTTACTATTTCTGACACCAACCGTCCCTCCCATAGCATGCTCTGCTGGGTTTGATAATTCACTGCAATGGCCACACAGAACTCACAGACCATACTGACAATTATGGGGTTTATTAGGGAAGTAACAGTTACAATTCAGGCTCAAGAACATTCAGGATACAATTCTTCCATCAGAACAGCCTCTCCCCAGCTCTGCTCGGAAGCCCACCTCTCCCTGGCCCTCGACTCTGCCCAGAGGTACTCAGCTTTCTCTCTGTGTGGGCCAGGAAGCCCACCGCACCATCTCCTGCTGCCAGGTCTCCGCTGCTGGGGCTCTCCTTCCTTGGTGGTGGTGGGCTCCTCCCCTCTGCTCTGGAATTGGCTCGCTTTTTAAGGCAAAACTGACCAATCCCCTTGGTAGGCCACAATTACCCTACCACACAATCACCTGGGTGGGAGTAGTGTCTTCGCACATTTCATTACAACACATTACTTTGTCTTCTCGAGCTGCCCTCTGAAATCTTCTGTTGAGCTCCTTTATGTGATCATTTCTCCTGTTCGCTTTAGCTACTTTACATTCAACAGCAAGTTTCAGAGTCTCTTCTGACATCCATTTTGGTCTTTTCTTTCTTTCCTGTCTTTTTAATGACTTCTTGCTTTCTTCATGTATGATGTCCTTAATGTCATCCCATAACTTGTTTGGTCATTAGTGTTCAGTGCATCAAATCTATTCTTGAGACTGTTTCTAAATTCAAATGGGATATCCTCAAGGTATATTTTTGCTCTCATGTACTTGTTTTAATTTTCTCCATCTTCAACTTGAATTTGCATATAAGCAACTGACGACCTAGTCCGCAGTCGGCCCCTGGCCTTGTTCTGACTGATGATATTGAGCTTCTCCATCATCTCTTTTCACAGACGTAATTGACTTGACTCCTGTGTATTCCACCTGCAGATGTCCACGTGTACAGTCACTGTCTCTGTTGTTGAAAAAAGATATTTGCAATGAGTAAGTCATTGGTCTTGCAAAATTCTATCATGCGATCTCTGGCGTCCTTTCTATCACCAAGGCCGTACTTTCCAATTACCGCTCCTTCGTTTCCAACTTTCGCATTCTAATCACCAGTAATTATCGATGAGTCTTGAATGCATGTTTGAGCAATTTCAGACTGAAGCTGTAAAAATCTTCAACTTCCCCATCTTTGGCATTAGTAGTTGGTGCGTAAATTTGAATAACAGTCGTATTAACTGGTCTTTCTTATAGGTGTATGCTTATTATCATATCACTGACAGCGTTGTACTTCAATATAGATCTTGAAACGTTCCTTTTAGTGATGAATGTGATACCATTCCTCTTCAATCTGTCATTCCCAGTACAGTACACCATAAGACTGTCTGATTTTAAATGGCCAATACCAGTCCATTTCAGCTCATTAATGCCCAAAATATCTATCTTTATGCGTTCCATTTAATTTTTTATGACTTCCAATTTTTCTATACTCATATTTTGGACATTACACATTCTGATTATTAATGGATGTTCGCAGCTGTTTCTTCTCATTTTGAGTCATGCCACATCAGCAAATGAAGGTCCCGAAAGCTTGACTCCATGCATGTCGTTAAGGTCGATTCTACTCTGAGGAGACAGCTCTTCCCCAGTCATATTTTGACTGCCTTCTAATCTGCAGCGTTCATCTTCCAGCACTATATCAGATTACGCTGTTATTCATAAGGTTTTCACTGGCCAATTTTTTTAGAAGTAGATCACCAGGTCCTTCTTCCTAGTCTGCCTTAGTCTGGTATAGGTATGTATATAGGTAGGCATATATAGATGTTACCTATATGCAGGTATATAGATAAGCGTATGCATCCATATATACTCACATATACAATAAAGCACATAGGGTGCACAAACATGGATACTTATTAAACATCTCACAGGACTGATTTACAGGGTCTGAAGGCTTAGGACCATAGTTTCAAGGGACAAGTCAGTCAATTGGCATAGTATATTATGTCAAGTTTATATTCTACATCCTAGTTTGATGAATAGCATCTGGGATCTTAAAAGCTTGTAAGTGGCCATCTAAGATACAACTATTGGTCTCTATACGTCCCGAGTAAAAGAAAATGAAGGAAACCAAAGACTCAGAGAAGCAACTAGTCCACAGGACTAACAGTCTACATGAACCACAACCTCATCTACCCTGAGACCAAAAGAAATAAATATTGCCCGGCTACCACTACCAACCAGCCATTCTGATCTTGAGCACAACAGATGGATCCTGACAGAATGGGAGAAAACTGTGCAACAGAACTCAAATTATCAAGAAGTCCAGACCTACTAGACCAGTGGAGACTGGAGGAGTCCCCGTAACTATCACCCTGAGATACTCTTTAAACCTTGAACCAGAACTATTCCATGAGGTCATCTTTTAGCTAAATAACAGATTGGCTCATAAAATAAACAATATCACCTGTGAGTACTCCTTTATAAAATCATCTATACAAGACCAAGTGGTCAACACTTACTCTAGAGCAAAGACAAGAAGGCAAGGGGGCAAGCAAACTAGATGACTGGAAACAGGAGAACACAAATAGTGAGAAAGTTAACACACTACATAAAATGTGACCAATGTGACTGAACAAATTGTGTAGAAACTGTTAAATGGCAACCTCATTTGTTGTATAAACTTTCACCAAAAACACAATAAAATATTATTAAAAAAAAACCAAAACTCAGGGAAGATAATTTGCAACCTAAGAATTTTACACCAGCCTGTCACTGAGTGAGGGTTGACTAAATGCATTTTCACATAGTTTAAAAAAAAAAAAAAAGGATTAATGAAACCTGGGATTAGAAACAAAATGTTGGGAATTGATTTAAAAAAAATTTCCAAGCCTATTTCATTAGCACCCCACTATAAAGTCAGACCATTCTCTCATAAAACTGATTATAATCTACCTATACATCATAAGATTATGATTTTAATATTTTCATTTTCATAATTCTGTCTTTCATAAATATAGCAATAACTCACATATACTGTATACAACATTTCAAAAAATACGTCATCACCAAGATCCTAGATGGCACATTTAAACTTAGGAAACTAAAGCTAATATGAATGGCACTAATGATTCAGAACACATCAATTCCAAATCAAAGCAGAGGAATCATCCCATTAAACCCACTGCCATCGAGTCGATTCCGACTCATAGCGACCCTATAAGACAAAATAGAACTGCCCCATAGGGTTTCCAAGGAGCAGCTGGTGGACTCGAACTGCCGACCTTTTGGTTAGCAGCCAAGCTCTTAACCACTGTACTGCCAGGATTCCAGAGGAATCATAAACTTAAAAATAGTAAGACTGCAGACCTCTTCCCCTCCTTATCCTAACACCAAGCCCACCAGGTCCACATTACCCTGCTCTACCTTTTTTCCCTCAGCATGTATGAACTTTTAGCAAAGGATGTAATTTACACATAGATTAAGCTTACTGTTTATTTCTGTCTCCTCCAACAAAATGGAAGCTCCAAAAGGTAAGGGAGAGACCTCTTCGTTTTGTCCACTGATACATCTCAAGGACATAGAACACTGCCTAGCCCATAAGCAGTGCTCAAATACTTGCTGAATGAGTAACATGCTTTGTCACCCTCTCCCATCACTGTTTTCTGCTGCTTACTTATCTCCCCTAATTCCTGGTAGCTGAGGTTACAAAAACATTAATATACTACTTTAAATGGGATGTCAGATCATAGGCTATCTGAATTATTAATGTGAGGTTACAGAATATAGTAATATTGCTTAGGATATTAATTTTCACTCTGTCAATGTAAAAAAATTGGGACAAGTATTTATAATAGAAATAAAAAGTGTTCCAATTTAAAAATCATAATATTAGAAATTAAACTTACCTTTCCACAATCCATTCTGGTCGAATTACTTTTTCCCCCTTTAATTCTTTAATTTTGGCATTAGGAAGGTTTGTGGCAATAATGTGTGTTGTTTTGGATCTGGAATAATACACATGGTATTGGCCTCCATGCAACACCATCAGCTTTCTCAATTCCTCAGCAGAAGGATCTGTAAGATTAATATTAAAATATGTTAAAAGCTTTATGTATAAGTGGAGCCTGTGGGTGAATCCCTTAACAGTCCCTAAACAGACCAATTTAAAGATGTATCACTGGTTCACGGGTTTTCCTCGGCTGTGTTGCCAAGTAAACAAAGTCTGGAGGTAGGTACACCACAAAGTGATAAAGCCATACTGCCTTAGCACAGCCTCGTCCCCTGGCTGCCAGAGACGGTCAGTGGACACAAAAACATGTCCTTATAAGCGATGCCTACCTAACAGAGCAAACAGGGACATCACATCTGGAATCAAATACTAATAATAAAGCAGGTATTTTTAAATTTTTTATCATATTTAGGGTATGATCTTGACATCAGCATCTTGTTTTAAAAAATTAACAATTACAACCCCATTCATGGATCTCTTTACAGAGACTTCAATTAACCCTTCAGCTCCTTCATAATAATAAAAAAGCAGTCAGATACGTAAACTGCTCATATCTACTATAAGCGGACTTAGTGTAGGACTCAACAGACTTCACTCCCATGAAGTGTACTGATTTTAATTTATATTTAAGAAAATATAAAAGAAATAATCAAACAGTTAATCTTACTCAGGTCCTTAATGTGAAATTACATCAAGGCCAAGAAACAAAAGTTCACAAAGAAAAAAAATATATGATGAATGAGAAACACTGTTTTTAAGTTTTGTTTCAAAATACTGTTTTTCTATAATTGTATCTTATTAAGAATAAAATATTTTAAACTAGAATCGATGTGGCTTATGCTAGCCCACATAAAGAAATGCCTGATTCACTAAAGTTATGTTATGACCAGGGCTTCAAACTGGTTCTTTCCAGTTTGATTACCTGATGAGAATTTGGTTTTCCACCCCAGATATACTAAATCAGAATTTATATTTTACCAAGTTCCTGGGTGATTCTTATGTATACATGTTAAAATGTAACAAGACCCCCAGGTTGATTCTGATTCAGTATACCTGGGGTGGAAAGACAAATTCTCAGCAGGGGGTTGAATGAGAAAGAACCAGTCGAAGGCCTGGTTATGACCTGCATTACTAGTATCACATTGAAAAAAAACAAACCAAACCAAACTTGATGTCGTCAAGTCGATTCAGACTCACAGCGACCCCACAGGACAGGGCAGAACTGCCCCGTAGAGTTTCCAAGGAGCGGCTGGTGGATTCGAACTGCCGATCTTTTGGTGAGCAGTGGCGCTCCTAATCACTTCGTCACCAGGGCTCCGCCACCAGGGCTCCAAGCATCACGTTAAGCTAATTCTTTTCAGGAGCTTTTGTTTCCTTCCCCTACCATCCTAATGAACCCTCTAAACCACACGCCCTCCCCCAGCGACAGCTGTACCTCGGGGAAAGGTTTTCACAGTCGGCTTATGTACCCGCTTTGTTATTCAAGCAAGACAGATTTTCCTTACACCCAGGCAATACAGACATGAGTACTTAAAGAAAAATTGTTAGCATCACTGCCTAATTAGGTGAGTTTTACAGTCTTTAGAAAAAGAAAAAACATTAATACAGCACATACAGATATGCCCCGGTTTGCCTAATTCTTAGTAAATTCTTGTAGCCTATAATTCATTTGATGTTACTGATTGCATATACTAGCACTGTCCAATAGAAATATGTGAACTACAAATGCAAGCCACATATGTAAGCTGAAATTTTCTGGTAGATACATTAAAAACAGTAAAAAGGTAAAATTAATTTTAATAATATCCCTTATTTAACCCAACAGATCCAAAATATCATTTCAACATGTAGTTATTAAAAAACTGAGATATTTTACATATGCGATATTAGGCACTGAAAATGTGGCTAATCTAACCTGAGATGTGCTGCATATGAATACAACTTTCCGTGTTTGTTTTTTTAGTCCTACCCCCCACTCCAAAAAAAACCAGCTAGTTCAAATGTTGGCTACAGGGTGGGGGCAGCCCCACTTCACATCATCACAGACTATAGCTCTAGAGTATTTAATTCCGTTCACAGGGTTCTGTCTATACGAATCAACATATGATAATCTCTGACCGATCTCACTGGAGACCTGCAGTAACAAACAAACAGGATGAATCTTCTACAGACTTCAGAACCAAGTCACTGGTCAAGCATTTATTGATAACACTTCCAGTTAAGTGCAAAACACTTAAGAAAACAAATTAAGAAACTGTTTTGCTTTAATGACGAAGACAGATGGAGACATTTAAACCAGCGATTTTCAATTTCTTTTTAAACAGCAGAACCTTTATTTCAAATGAACTCTTAGAGGAAATGCTCAAAATACCAAACAAAAGTGGTATTATATTAGACAACTTTGTTTTAAAATTTCTATTTTTGACATACGTTATGATTTGCATTTTAACATAGTATTGAGAAAATCCTGTTCAAACTAAAACTATTAAGGTTTGCAACAATGTCTAAAAAGTTATATTCCAAGGCCTATGTAAGAACTACTTACTTAACCTGACAACAAGAGGAAATGTGCTGGTGGTATAGGTATGGGCTTTTATTTAGTAGATAACACATTTGAATATTTGTTTATATTTTTATCTGTTTTCAGAATACTTAAATAAATGTAAAATTCTAAAACTGTGAAACCTTTAACACATTTTAGATAGAACTCAAGCTGAAAACCAACTAAAAACAGCAACAGTTTATCAGAGTCCTACAGCACTTATCATTTATGGTATCTGGAAATGGGAACTTCATTTGATCATCAGCGTGTCCTCAGTGCCTTTATTTTCAAGCATCCCGCGTAGAAGTTAGTAAGGGAAATATGTGATATATCAGAAGTAAGGTTCCATGGGAACACAGCTAATAAACATTTGATTGAGCTGAACCAGAATATTAAGTAGCATTTTGACACGCAGATAAGCTGAGGAAAGGATGATAAATAAAGCTGTTTTGGGGTGGGAGAAAGGGGAGGGGTGGAATAGTTGGAGGAGATGTGGCTACAGGGTTGAAAGCACATTTTCAAAGAACAAAGAATAATCTAGTTTTGGAGAGCTGTGGGGTGAATTAGCATGAAGATCACAGTGAGAGGACTTAATGGAATCTGGACATATCCTCTGGAGTCTTACAGAAAAGAACTAGGATCAGTGATTGGAAGTCACAGGGAGGCAGATTTCAGCTTACGGAAACAATCAAACCTGTCTGAAAACGAACTGGGCTGCTTCCCAAGACACTGTATCATCACTGGAGCCATTTCAAGAGACTGTGGCTGTCCGTCTGTTTTTCAAGAACATTAAAGAAGGAATTCTCACACAGAAAAGGATTAACTTACCAGCCATCCAACCCCACTGCTGTTGAGTCAATTCCGACTCATACCGACCCTATAGGATTAACCTGAAGACTATTAAAGTTCCTTTCACCCCCAAGATTCTGTGAGCTCATGATCTAAAACAAGAGTCAGCAAGCTACGACCAACAGACCAAATCTAGCTCACCTCTTTTTACAGTAAAGTTTTACTGGAACACAGCCACTCTCATTCACATACTGTTTATGGCAGAGTTGAGTAGCTGCAACAGACAGTACTTGGCCCATAAAGCTTTAGCCCTTTACAGAAAGTCTGTCAACCTCTGGTCTAAAGTACTGACCATTCGGAAGCAGACTGCCAGGGCTTTCATCTGAGCTACCTCTGGGTGAGTTCAAACCGTCAACTTTTCAATTAGTAGCTGAGTGCTTAACCATTTGCGCCACCCAGGGATTCCTGACCTAAAACATAGGCAAGGCTTATTGCTTTAGAAAACCTAAAACAAAACAACAAATATTTGTTTTAAATATTCCTCCTATTCACCATTTCAGATAATGCTCAGAGAGGTTAGGGTAGGTTATGCTGCCATGACAAGTGACCTCAAAATCTCAGTGACTTACAACAACAAAGGTTTATTTTTCACTCATGCAACATATCCACCCTAAGGTCCAGCAGGTCCATGGAGCTCTGGCTCCATGTCATCTTTACTCTGGGATCCAAGCTATGGAGCAACCTTTATCTGAAACACTACCAGTCGCTGCAGAGAAAGAGGGTATGGAGAAGCTCAAACTGCCTTTTAAAGATGTTTCGTCAAAGTGATATATGTCATTTCTGTTAACATTTTCTTGGCTAAACATGGCCAAGCCTGATTAAACGTGTAGGAAAGCAGATTTTGGTAAACAAAAAATACAATCTACCATACACTGTATTTAGAAAATTTCATAGAAGTAATTCGTTTCCCTTATTTCTGCAACCTATCTTATCAGCAGAAATATGCCTACACAATGTCTTTTGAGACTAAAAGCAAAAAAATCAAAGGTTCTAGTGTAATTTCTTGTTTCTCAAAACAAATGTTAAATCTCAGAATTATTCGAAGGTTATTTTCTATTCTACTAAAATCATGCTCAGCGTAAGAAATTTGGAAAATAAAGAGAAGAAAACAACTGGTCTTCCATCCACACACTGAAAAAAGAATAAGCAGAACATCGCTTTCCACATTAACTGCCCCTTTCCACTCCGAAGAAGAGAGCATTTACAGTCCACTTTAAAGCTATAGAGCCCTAGTGGCACAGAGGTTAAGAGCTCAGCTGCTAACCAAAAGGTCGGCAGTTTGAATCCACCAACCGCTCCTTGGAAACCCTGTGGGGCGGTTCTAGTTTGTCCTACGGGGTCGCTTTGAGTCGGAATCAAGACGACAGCCAACGGGTTTGGGTTTTTTTGGTTTATGTGTCAGGCCCAGTACTAGGCACCGGGGATACCACAATGAACAATCCTGCTCCATGGTACTTATAATGCAAGGGGGAGACAGAAAATAAACAAGCAAGATAAATAATATCAGTTCAGGTAAAAATAAATGCTATGGAAAAAATGAAGAAGAAAGAAAAATTGTAGGGCATGGTATGGCTATTTTAGATGAAGGAGGTCAGGGAAAGTTGTTGAGGAGGTAACATTAGAGCAGAGATCTGAATAATGAAAACCTGAGGAAGGCAGTGGAAACAGAACATTTAAGGCTCTGAGGTATTATCTCTGATCTATGTTTGGCAAGGGATTATTACAAAAACGGGGGCTTCCTGACTCCAAACAACTTAATATGTAAATAAGATCTTACTATATAAATAAAATCCGTTGCCGTCCAGTTGATTCTGACTTATAGCGACCATACAGGACAGAGTAGAACTGCCCCATAGGGTTTCCAAGGCTGTAATATTTACGGAAGCAGACTGTCAAAACTTTCTCCTGCAGAGTGGTTTGTGGGCTTGAATCACCGACCTTTCAGCTAGCACCGAGCACTTTAACCACTGTGCCACAAGGGCTCCTTAATATATAAATGAGACCTGAAAATACAAGACAAAACTCAGGGGCTAAAATAAATGTTTCTAGCAATAATGCTACGGTATTTAAACCGAAACAAGAGCCACTGCCAAGGCGATGCCAACTCATAGCGACTCCATAGGACAGAGTAGAACGGCCCCATAGGGTTTCCAAGGAGCGGCTAGTGGATTCAAACTGCCGACCTTTTTGGTTAGCAACCAAGTTCTTAACCACTGCACCACCGGTATTTAATATTACGGTCTGGCTTAGGGAGAGGCAAAACCTAATTCGATCTGGGTCTTAATGGATGAGTATAGCTCCAGTCTATGGAAGGGAGACCAAGCTTTTCATCACAGGCAAAAGCATGAACAGAACTGTGAGAGAACAAAGACAAACTCAGAACGTTAACTGTCAGTGATGCCTGATAACTTCTACTTCCCATCAACACGCCTTGCCCCCACTACACCAGGCACATGTATCAATTCATCAATGCTGAACTTCAGTTCAACAGCCACTGAGGAGGCACCAGGGATACGGCAGTGATGAAGACGGAGCTCCTACCCTTGCCTTGAAGACAGGCAACTGCAGTGAGGGCTAGTTAATGCCAGAATACGGCTAAACGCAAGGTGCCGTAGACCAGCAAGAGCATGACGCCACCTAACCAGCATGAAAACAACAGATCATCAAGGGAGGGGAACAGAGGCCATGAAGGAAAAAACGTATCAGATTGAGACAAACACTTACAGCCATTCCCGTCAAAAAACAAACTAAAATGATCACAAGAGGAAAGGGGTTGCCAAGTGGATGAGGAGGAAATTTTGGAGTAAAATTGGACAGCCAATCAACAAGAGTGATGGACTTTGCAGGTCAGAAAGAGCTGAAGTCTAAGATGGCTGCGCAGAAGCCCAGAAACAGGCTGCTTCCTGCCACTGAAATCAAGAACAGCTCATGAAACAGAGGCACTGGGCACCTCCGGAACGGGGTGTGGACAGGTCTGAGCGGAGAAGTTCACAGCTGAAATTCTGTATAAAAGGCAAATGAGGCTTCCCAGAGCTCATCCCGCCACTCACAGAAAAGATCACCCTCCCCCTTCCACATACGAGACTCAATGACAACAGGTACTCTTTTTTGGGGTGGGGGGCTGGGAGCAGAGATAAAAAAGGAACAGGGAGAGTAAATGAAATTCTCCTTCCTAAATTGTGAGAATTCTGACCCTCTCCTTTCCCTGGGCAGCCAAAATGCTGGCAGCTAGGAAACAGGACTCATTCTGCACCCCCCAACCTGCCCCCAGAAGCACCGCTGGACAATAACAGCTGGAGACTCACCAATGAAATGGCCCTACCAGATCCTCCTACAGTGAAGCCCAGTTTACAGTGCCGCCTGTGTTCAATGAGCTTCCAGCCAGCTTTAAAAGCAAGAGGACTACTGTTTTTCATTTTAAATCTCATTACTTTTTAGATAAAAATTAAAATAAAAAAAGACAATGGCAGGTGCAGTGGGAGGGAAAGAAAAGTGGAGTTTTATCTAAGCAGAGGTTTTTATTTTTATATAAAAAGAAACATTTTCATATACATGAATAAATTACTAAAAACAGAATTTTAGAACAAATCATTCTCAATCCTAATCAAAGTACATGCTAAAACAGTAAAAAGTACTCAACCTGTATAGCCATTAACATAGATGGCAACTCCACTAAAAATCGTAGATGAATTTCCATCCTTCTGAATAGCAGCATCTGATCGAAACTGTTCCTCCAATTTCTGGACCTTTGCAGCCATATACTCACCCTAGAAATAAAGAAAAGGTAAACCAACTTCAGAAGTTACATTTTTCCCTTCCTTTTTTTAAAAAAATTGTGTTAAGTATAAACCCAAAACCAAACCCACTGCTGTCAAGTTGATTAAGACTCACAGCAACCCTACAGGACAGGGCAGAATTGCCCCATAGAGTTTCCAAGGCTGTAAATCTTTATGGAAGCAGACTGCCACATCTTTCTCTCGCAGAGCAGCTAGTGGGTTCGAACCACCAACCTTTCAGTTAGCAGCCGACTGCTTAACAACTGCGCCACCAGAGCTCCTTGTAGTAAGTATACTTAAAACATTTGCCATTTCAGTATTTTTTACACATACAATTCGGTGACATTAATTACTTTCAACATGTTGTGCAACCATCATCACTATCCATTTCCAACTTTTTTCATCATCCTTCACAGAATCTCAATGCTCCCTAACCACTGCCCTCCCCCCCGCTTAAAATAAATTTATACTTGGGAGGGAGGCTTATTCTGCACCACCGACCAAGGTATAATAATGACATCCTAACCACGAATCGCAAGGCAATAAAGCACAGAGGTCAAGGAAGACTTCCTTCTGTCAACTCAATTTTTAATAATTTTATCACATTTTTATGATGATAAAAGTTACTTTTCAAGAGAAAAAGGTAGGTCAAGAAGAATAAATTACTGCCACAAAACACTGTCCCTACCAACATAGTAATGTAGCAAAAGTTACATACACCAACGCTTAAACCAATTAGAAATTTGACGAGCAGTCAATAAAAGCATATTTTAGACTGGCTTCCACTATCTTCTGCACATGGAGAGCTTAAAATTAACTACTTCAGGGAAAATGAAGCAATTAGACAAATGAATGCAGCCCTCCCCACATGTGGCTAAGAACACAATAAAAATGGTTCAGGAGTTACATTCTGGATCTAATCAATCCATATAAAGGTAGAACAAAGTTTCATCAGATAACATCAACCTCAAAAAGAATGTAAATGTTTTCGGTAAAGACCTTTACAAATCTATGAATTCAGCTATACTTTTCCTGAAACTTGTCATAGTAAGCTTGATTACTTTGAGTTAAGGTCTTTTGAAAAAATTTTTTCAGAAAATATAGGAAAGAATAGAAAAAAATTAAAATTGGCTATGATCCCATTCATTATTACTGTTTTGGGATGTTATTTTCAAAGTTTATTTCTATGTTTCAGAGCACAGAGGTTTTACAAAAACAGGATTAAGTATAATATTCCTTTATAACATATCCTTTAGTCAAGACATCTTCCAGGTTAAGAAATATAAATAATGATTGCACACTAATCCCATGTATCGGTAATTAATCTCACCAGTCACCTACTATTGGATGTTTATGTCATTTCCTGTTTTTCAGTATTATTAGCAATGTTGCAATAAAATTATCGTACAATACATTCTTCCTCAGGATAAAACTCTTTAAAGTTTGAGGTTGAAGACTATGAACATTTTAAAGCTTTCAATACATTAACCTCCAGAAAAGTTTTAACAATTTACGTTTCTGAAAGCTCAAATAATTAATGTCTAAAGCACTTTAAAACTTAGAACATGCCTTAAACCACACTCTAAACTAAAAGAAGAATGAAAAAGACCTATAAAGTTCAACACAATTATTTTTACTCTTTTAAAACGCACCCAATTTTGCCAGCCCTCATTTTCAGCTCGTTTCCTCCATCCACCTCGCCTCATGGTGGAGCTTCTGTATTTGGGTGAGGAAAAAGAAGTTAATTTTATAACAGTGTACTTTTAATTGATATTTTACTTAATATCATGAAAAATCATGAGAAATTAAACTCAAATGTTTGATTCATGAAAGTTAAAATTAACAACCCTGAGTAAATTTTTTTTCAAAGTATATCATTTTCTTGCTTTACAAGTGGAATTTGTTCTGAAAAACACCTTCCTAAGGAGAATTAACCATGTTTAAATTATAAGTACTTTAAATGTCAATAGGGAAAATTTCTATGCATTCTTTTTTTTTTTTTTTATTGTGCTTAAGATGAAGGTTTACAGAGCAAATTAGTTTCTCATTAAACAGTTAATACACATACTGTTTTGTGCCACTGGTTGCCAACCCCACGATGTATCAACACTCTCCCCTTCTTGACCTTGGGTTTTCTATGCATTCTTGAGCACCAATGCTAACATTCACTTACATAAACCACCACCAAATCCCACTAACATGGCCAAACTTACTTAACTTGTTGACATTAGTTAGTGTAACAGAACCTAACAAAACACTCCCCTTTATGAACTCCACCTTGATACGGCTCTTAAGCTCTGCCTTTGCTATTATGCACTGGATCTTAAGTGTACACTCATCGGGTAGTTATCTATCGTGCAAAAAGCCTCAAAAGAAGTCAACTAAAACAACATCATAGGAGACATGGCACAGAAAGACTATCACTGATATAAACTAGTAAATGTGTCGTTCTTCAGGCAACACTTGGCCAACTATACTTATAAAGTCAGCAAGATGACTCTGGTGCTTAATTTCACATGTCAACTTACACAGATATGGTGTCCAGCTGTCTGGTCAAACACTAGTGTAGATGTTGCTGTTAAAGTATTCTGTAGATGTGATTAACATTTACAATCAGTTGACTCCAAGTAAAGGAGACTACTCTTGATAATGTGGGTGAGCCTCATCCAATCAGCTGAAGGCCTTAAAAGCAAAAACTGAGGCTTCCCAGAGAGAAGGAATTCTGCCTCAAGATTTTAACAAACAAATCTTGCTAGAGTTCCCAATCTACCACCTGACCTATGGATTTTGGGCTTGCCAGGCCCACAATTACATGAGCCAATTCTTTCTCTCTCTCCACACACACACACACGCACGCACGCACACACACACAACCATTGGTCTGCTTCTCTGGAGAACCCTAACTAGCACAATGACCAAATGATGGTTTAAGTTACAGATGGCTGAGTAGCCAGCATGGTATAAAATGACTTATAAATCAAAGCAGGTTCTAAATAAAACTCCTTTTAAAGTTAAGTTCTTTTAACCTAAATGGCTACATCTTAGGACATGACTGCATTATCCTTCACAGATTTATTATGACCCCCATTTAGATATTTCTCTTCTGTAACTATATATGTCAATGGCAGATAGTTGTCGAGTCAAATAAGCTTTGATGTGGTTTATGACAATCTTTTACTGAATGACACTTAAAACATGACTCTTTTAGCTACACACATCAGCAGATATTTTCTTTCAAATATTTTTATTCTTGGTATGCTATGGGATTTAGTTTCTACTTATCGACATTTAGAGTAACTATGCATTTTTTACTGTCTACTCTCAAAAGGGAGCCAAGGACGCCTGAGAGATGTACGGAGATAACATTCTCAGAGTTAGGTCCAGTAGAGAGAGAATACAAATGACATAGGGCGCATGTGCAAAGTGCTCTGAGAAGAAGGGGGCAAACTGATTAACTCTGATTAGGTACTGTGGATGCTGAAGGAGAGAAGAGCTGTTTATGTTTGATAAAGGTAGGGCCACAGCTGTCCAATGTGCTCATTATCGAGCCCCAGAAATACTATATTTTACTGTTAAATGTTTCTTCTCTTTCCAATAGGCTCACTTTGTCTAGTCCCTCAAGGCATCTCTGTTTACACTGATGAAATCTGGGAAATGTGTTAACACACGGTTCTTGACTTTATATAAATTTTGAACACATACACTTGCTCTTACAAGTAAATTGTTTGGGAGTTCTGGCTATTATACTCTAAGATTGTATACTTATAATAAATACAAATATTAGTCTACTACTAAATGAAGGTAAATGAAGGAATAAAATGTATTTTTTAAGTTTCATTAATTCTTTCCATTCATTTAATTAAGAGCCCCATTTATTTAAGATCTATTGGGCATCTAGCACAAAAGGCTGATAGGAAAAATCTTCATCTATGGTTTAGTGAGGAAAGACAAATATGAAAGCGAAGTTATAATAAATACCAAAAAAAAAAAAAAAAGGACTAAAGGCCTTCTCCCATTCCAAAATAATAAAGCTACCCTGGGCAAACGTTTAAAGCTTTGAAAAGCAAAGGGAAACAATAAAGGACTGAAAATTGTAATTTCATCATTTCTACTAACTTGACTCATGTATGGCAAACTCTGATTGATCTAGAATTCAAATAATTAGAAGACCAAAAAAAGAAGGAAACAAGAAACATATTTCATTTTATACGTTCCAAATGGTACTTTTAAGAAAATCCCCTAACAAATAGTAAACTAGGCATTCGAACTAGCCCTCTTGCTGAGAAAGAAGAAAGCTAGACAAAACTTTATTTAATTGCCTCCAGGCACAGAAGGCCTCAGAAACAGTGAACTAATCAGAGAGGACAATGATCTGCCACCTCACCCTCCCTCCCCAGCCTGGGATAGCTTTTCCCCCTGAAGGCATTTGGCAATTCCAGTAGAGTGGCTGAGAGACCGAGCAATGCTGTGGCACACACAGTGCTGGGGGAAGAAAGCTGGAGTCAAAGCATCCTCCACAGAGGTCAACTTCCACACTTGGGATTAGATCCCTAGAAGCAGGAGTAAGCTAGAAGCAGACTTCGCAGAAACTGGATCCTGTCTTATACTATTTCAATCCCCGAAAGTAGACTAAGGTGATCTGGACTGCGTGCCCTCAGTCACCTAGCAGAAGCCAATGTAAATCCTCTCTGCAGGGGTGGTAACATCCTCAACTTCACAGTATTTCTACGATTTGTTAATACAATGTCTGGCACACAAATCAAATAACCAGCACACACAGAGGTAAGACCACGTAAGTGAAAACCAACAAAAATACACAAAACAGACCCACAGAAACTTCAGATTACTAAAGTGACCATAGACTGTACAATAACTGTGCTTACTATGTTCAAAAAGACAAGTCTCACAATACCAGAAGGAAACTGGAAAATACAAAAATAACTAAATAGTAACTCTAGAATTGAAAAGTAAAATAATACAAATTAAGAACTTAATAGACATGTAAGAGCAAATTAGGAAGAACTGAAAATAAGTCAGAAAAAATACCCAGATAAAGCAGAGAGGAACAAAAAGATGGAGAATGTGGAAGACACAGTAAGAGATACAGAATAGCTGAGAAGGTCTAACTTAAATTTGGAAGAACAACAGGAGAAAAAGTAAGTTATATTTGAAGAAATAATGGCTGGAAACATTCTAAAACTGATTGAAGGTATCAAGCCACAAATTCAAGAAACCCAATGAGCCCCAAGCAGGAAAAAATAGAAATTTACACCTAGACATACAACAGTGAAACTATGTAAAACAAAAGACAGAAAAATCTTAAAAGCAGCGTTGGGGGCGGGGGGGATAACAGACTCCATTCAAAACACTCAAAGGGGGTAACCTAGAATTCTAACCCAGAGAAAATCTCAGTCAAATGAAAGATGAAATAAAGGCATTTTCAGGTAAACAGAAATAGGTTCATGCTACCAGTAAACTTGTACTAAAGTAGATCACTAAGGATAGAATTATTGATGTGGAATTCTCCTAGACGGAAGCGAGGAAAATAGTAAGTATCTAGATAAATCAACATGGAACACTAAATAAATGAGTACAATAATATCAATTTGTCATTGTTTGTAGCATAAGTAAATACACAGCTTGTTGTTGTTAGATGCCACTGAGTCAACTTTGACTCATTACAACCCCATGTGACACAGTACAACTGCACACAGGGTTTTCTAGGCTATAATCTTGACTGGAGCAGATCACCAGGTCTTTTCTCTTGAGGGGTCACTGGGTGTGTTCCAACTGCCAACCTCTCGGTCAGCAGCCAAGCACCTAACCGTACTGCCACCAAGGCTCCTTAAAGATACAGCACAAGTGAACCAAAAACTATGTACAGGGAATGCAAAATGGTACAGCCACTTGGGAAGACAGTGTGGAAGTTTCTACAAAGCTAAACATAGGCTTACCCTAAGATCCAGCAATCATGAGCCTATAAAACTTAGGCCCACACAAAAGCCTGCACACAAATGTTCACAGCAGCTTTATTCGTAACTGCCAAAAACTGGAAAACACCAGGATTCCTTCAATAGGTCAATGGATAAACAAATTCTGGTGCATCCGTTGTTGTTGTTAGCTGCTGCTGAGCCAGCCCCGACTCATGGCAACCCCGTGCCCAATGCTCCATTATCCCCACGATCAGTTGTGAACGGGACCATTGTGATCCACAGGATTTTCACTTGCTGATTTTAAGAAGTAGATCACCAGGCCTTTCTTCCTAGTCCATCTCAGTCTGGAAGCACCGCTGAAACCTGTCCAGCATCGCAGCACCATGCAAGCCTGCACTGACAGACAGGTGGTGGCTGTGCATGAAGTGCACTGGCTGGGAATCGAACCTGGGTCTCCCGGATGGCCCACTGCACAACCAATGCCTCATCCTGATACTTCCATATGTGGAATGCTATTCAGCAATAAAAAGATGAGCTATCAAGCCACAAACAGACATGCTGTTGTTGTGTGCCACAGAGTCAATTCTGACTCACAGCGACCCTATAGGACAGAATGGAACTGAGGAACCCTAAATGCATATTACTGAAAGAAGCCAGTCTGAAAAAGCTACATACCATATAATGCCAACTATATGACATACTGGGAAAGACAAAACTATACAGACAGTCAAAAAGTCGGTGGCTATCAGGAGCTGGAGAGAAAAGGGGGTGGGACGAGTAGGTGG